TTCCTTAATCTTAGTAGCTTGATGTTTATGGGCCCTTTCCCATGTGTTTTCAATTTATTTACCCACTATGTTTAATAGCAAGAAAATATATAGCCTAAAGCGTGTCATAGGTGAAGGGCTTTTTGTTAAAGAATTATTAAAAAAATATGCTGTGATTAATAAGATCTACGAAGTAGTGTGTGTTAACGCTTTATTATATTAGTATAGAGTATAGAAGTATAGATTAGTATTATTAAAAAGGGAATTTAATAAGTACATACATCTATTGTGCGTTGGTAAAGTCGCTGGATCTAAGTTGTGTATTCAAACTTCTAGCGTATTATAGTATCTATTGGTACACATATAAATGCATAGAAATATATTTAATTAAAGAGTTTACCTCTCAATACATAGTCTGTTTGTTATTGTATGATAGTTTCTTGGAATATTTATTGCTTGTAATACAAAATAATGGAATATGATTATGATGCATAGTTTTTAATATGTTTTTTATGTTGATATTGTTCGTGGGTCGCAATAAATCTCCAAACGGTGTAATCATGTACAATTATATAACACTTTAAAGTGCATTGGAATTTCCAAAATACATCGAAAGAGTTATAAAAAAAGTTTGTTTTTTATTATATTAAGCAAGAATCAAGGGTAGGACGTTCAACTCGCTAAGTTTGACAGAAACAGCAGTATGAGTCTTTTAATACGTATAAAATGCTTAGAATTCACAATATTACTTATACTTATGTTAGAAGAGTTAATTATTCGACATGTCTAAAGTTCGTTGATCTTGGCGTGCAGTTTCATTGTTTGCCTTCATAAGTGCAGTGAAGTGGGAATTAGTAGCTACACTGTACATTTTTTTATGTTACACTGGTTATAAGCTATTGATGTCTATTTTATAGCGGCTCTTAATACGAGCGATTTGAGGATGATGTATAAAAAAAACCGACATTGGCAATTAATTACTTGCCTTCATTTGTCTTAAATCAAGTTATTCTATAGGGAAAATATGTTTCCATACAAACCGTCGTATATCATCGTGCCACCGCCGAGAAATGTGTATTTACAAATTACAAATTAATTTTAACCAAATGTTACCGTACGGCTTCATCCGCGTGATATTATCAAATTTTATTTTATTGCTTACATTTGCAAATGTCATTTTCCGTTACCATAATAACCTTACTTCCTTCCATCATAATGTTGGCAGCTTGTAAACGAAATCATTATCCAAAAATATGCTGTGATTGCTTACATTCGCCACAAAGTAGTGCAAGTTTACGCTATATTATATTAGTATAGAGTATAGATGTACTACGGCATTCTAAAATAATGGTTATCTTAAACATTGACATCTCTACATAGTTTATTATCGGTATGCAAATACCGTTGTGTAGGTTGTACGCGAAAAGTGCGTATTCACCTCATTAATGTCAGCTTTTGGCTTTAAATTTTAATCAGTCTTAATTACATACCATTAATAATTCGGAGTATTATGCGTGTTATAAGGTCAATATACAAGAAATACTACAAGTAATGCGAATTAATGTTAGCTGTTATATATACTTAGTAAGTATATGACAAAACGGCACGTGTTAAGGCACGTTCTCGATTTAAATGAATTATTAACTGTCCAATGACATTTATATATTTGTAATGTATTTTTGACACGATGTTTTATGTATGATCTATGATTTCGAAATTTGGTACTTTCTAGTAACAAGCCTGATAACGTACATACCTATATATTTTTTGACTTATGACCTTTCGCCCGCAAACTTAGTCAACGCAAATTTGGACCACCCGTTACGCCATTTTGACAGCGAGGAATTAAAAAAGTAACCTATATATGTACCTATCCATTTCACCTACCCGCCAGTGTTATCGGTCCAGCCGTTTCGATTACTCGGAACAAACGCAGCTTGCGCACAGACGATTTTTTTTAATGCGATTTTCGTTATCAGTGACGAAAATACATCATCTTCCCGAAATCTGGAATTTTCCTTCTGATATTACAAACGGACACCCCAATTTTATTATACGTCTAGATAGAATACGTCTAAATGTATGTATGTCGTGACATCAATAGATAGATAGTACTGTCTATAGATGAGAGTTTACCGTTTGATTGACAAGTAGGTAATTAGTTATTTGAATAAGTTGTTAGAACGTCGGAAAATCTTAGAATAGATTATTGGAACTTTCCATTGACGCTCGCTGATGCTAAGAGAAAAAACAAAACACAAACAAAAATGCTTTATTGCGCTTTACGAATATGTTACATAGAAAAAATAATCCTGCAATACCTAAATGTTTAGATGAAGTGTGAAGATTTAAAAAAGGGAAAAATTGCCTTGATTGTATTCATCAAATATTTAAAACATTTTAAATGGTAAACATTTAGTAAAATTAGTATTAATTCAACATTTTTGAATCTATACAACGATACCATACTTTGAAAGGTTGTAAAAATATTTACTTAGGTACTTGTATTTGATTGTTAGATTAACAACCTTCGTGGGTCATTCTGGATGTCATGCTAAATGTTCATTGGAATATCATTGACTTCCATTAACTTAGATTAATTCTGAGTATTTCTGCGTTAGCACGGCGATGACGAGGTTTGTGAAATACGCAATCTTGTTAGCGTATATCTAGCTCTGCGTGACGATATATTAAAAAGTTTTCGTCGTTAATCAAAATAAGCCTTCGAAACCAAAAAAGCTCGGTTTATTTAAGAAAATCCCTTAACATTTATATCGTTACTTAAAAACGTAATAAATTATTCCTCTAATACTTGGTCCTTCGAGCCGGATGTTAATTTAGAGACCTTTAAGATATGTTCTAAATGTCATATTTAATCCAAAATAGGGTTAAGAATCACAAAAAGTAAATTGCCGAGTCATATATGTTATTATTATATATCATATTTCGTTTTTATCAACGTGTTTGTTTTGATACATTATATCAGTAATATTAATCATCATTAATATATTTTAATCCTTGTCGATAGTCTGCGATAATCATAATACATTAATCGAATGATAAACAAAAATATTAATGAATCACCGCTTTAATCAATTGAACGTGATTTGTCTATCAATCATTTTAGCGACATCTGTCGACTTTCTAAATGAACAAAGCGACTTTTTTATGGATAATTTCAGCTATGTTTAACCATTACAGCTAGTGTTTTTGGTTCGATAAATTCATGAAGTGCTTTCTCTCCGTTTAAACATAGGTAAATAAATATTAAACTAATGAGTCGCTAGATAATGACAAAATAGGTAAACTTCAGAAAATTAGCATTAAAATTTTTTTTATTGATCGAGTTATATTTAAGACTTTGTATTCTGTATGCTTTTATGTACATAACGAAATAAATAAACAAATTATTTGTAAAAACTTTATTAAAATAATAAATAAATTGCAAATGATTGACGAGGATGTTTTGAGCAGATTTGTTGTCCCGCTCCCACCGCCGTACACCACATGTGTGCAACACATACAACATTCAAAGCGTGATAAAACAATTATAACAAGTACCAGACTATTTGCAAAGATTACACAAACATATATCATTATAATGGACAGAGCGATTGATTTTGAACAACTTTTAACATCATCCTGATTCCAGTCGAATCCATCGCTGGATTATAACTGCAAAGTAAACACTGGAATGTGGGTTTCAGTGCCGGTTTACACTGGACTGATTACGTGATATAATGGAACTCACATTTGGCCTTATAATGTACTCTAAATAAATGAGAATTCTAATACTTTGCATGGATAAAAATTGTGGGCATATACTTTTAAGGTTCTACAGTGATTTTTTATTACATTACAATAATAAATGGAGTTTAAAAATAATTCTAAAAGTACTAGACATCTAAATACATTATAGAATTTGTATCTGAACGTTAAAACGGCTATTCCTTTGTCGATTTAAACGATGACGAAAGCAAAAAATATCAACATTACTATTATTTACAATTCTATGAATCTACACTGTACAAGGTAATCTATTTTAGATGTTTCAAACACGAATGTCACAGAAAACTCACATTTTTGGTACTGCTTTTTTGGAAGTGGCGAGCTAAAAATTTACATGATTTACTGCTAAAATGTACATCACCTACCTTTTATTTATCAATAGCTGATGAATTAAAAACTTTATTAGTAGCCTTACAAATAAACGCGGTATAAAGTTATACTTAGGAATAAACTGAATATAAGCAAATATTAGTACGTAAATTTTGCTTATACTCAGTTAATTCCTAAGTTTATTTTTTCACCGCGTTTATTTGTGACGCTGTATGTTTTTCCGGACTACCCTCTACATCTATGTCAAATTACATCGGGATTCAGCACTTTAGGATATTTTCTAACATCAATATAAACTATTGCATTTATATTAAGATAGCACAGAAATATATTTTTATGTACTCTACCTTGTCAATTCCATTCCTTCTTATACCTATAAGGGATTTTAAACATGTAGAAATTTAAGTAACAAAAATCGCTCGTTCATTACAATATTACATGTAAGTGTTAATCTAACACCGAACAATTTTATTAGCAAGGACAAACAACAGAACAATGCACATTAGGGTTGTAACGGAGGCCGTTTAACGGAAGCGGATGCGGAGGTGAAAGCGATAATTGAGATTTATTAAAAAATAAAAACTAAATCTACTTTTATTCAAAATACAGATTGGTACATAATTACACGATACAGTTTATTATGCGAATATAATGTATAACAATCATAGTTAGTTGACATTTCACGACCCCACGAGCCGCATAAACATTACCTACCCGCCCCACTCGCGTTAAAGAAGTAAATTCACCTCCGTTATAACTCCGCATAAGAAATAACGTAAGCGGATGCGGAGTTATCATTTCTTGCGGAACTTCCGCACTTGCGGATGCGGAAGCAGAGTTCCGTTACAACCCTAATACACATGCAATTCAGCATTAACAATACTCAATGGTAAAAACAGTTATAAAGAAATTAATGTATCGCAAAACCTTTGCCACACTAATACAATTCCATTTCAACATTTGTTCGAAATATTAAAAAGATCAGTTCATAGACAGGTCAAAAACCTTTAAAAACCGTGTAAGCAATTTCTTTGTTGATGCGTGAAAATAACAAATATGTTTGTGAATTTTCTTCGATAATTTGTTAGAAAAACCCATTCAAGTGATAATATAATGATCTAATGTGCTTTATGTATTGCTTACTCAGAATTATTTAAAGGTTACTTGAATAGTACCTTAGTGAAGATTTGTACTAAGAAATGTACAAAATAATTCTGAATATAGCAGTAATTTGAAACATAGAAATTAAAAAGTGGAATTTATGTTTTCACAGTTCGAAATATATATGTTCATATGAGATATGAAATTTTATGTAAATGAAATATGTGTGCTTAAATGAGTCTATGGTAACATTCATTAAAAATAATTTTATTCGTGAACAGTAAAGTAATATTTACATAACATTATCAATAAAGAAATGTACTTCCTAAAAGATAACTATAAAAGAAAATAAAATATATTTACATACAAATAAAATAGCGTCCCTTAAACACATTTAGATACAAAATGCAAATTTAACACCGTACTGTCATTAAATGGTCACTAAGTGAGGTGCTTAGCGTAGAAATCTACATTAAGCGACTGTTTAAGTAACCATTAAATGTCTCCGAGTACGGCTTTAAAGAACTCACCGTAGAACATACCGACACAACACAACTACGAAACACACTTAACAATTCGATAGTTTTCTCTTAAAACTTTGTACTTAAACAATATAAGGCTTTCGATGAAAGATAGCGTTTGTGCATAAAAATAGGGCTGCAACATTGTATCGATAAAATTACATTATCGATAACGGCACTAGAGTCAGTAATAACTTTAATAAAAACATTTATCCAAAATGATTCATCATTTTAACAAACATGAATACCATCTGAATAAAAATTACAATTCATTTTCCGAAGTTACATCAGTTATATTTTTCACGATCTCAATTTGATTTTTTTAAAGACAATTTCATTGAAATCCAAAAATAGTTTCTTATATGACAGTCGATAGATCGGTAAGCGATATTCTCACCTTCGAAATAAATATCGATACTTATCGATATCATATCGATACTTATCGATATCATATCGATACTTATCGATATCATATCGATACTTATATCGATATCATATCGATATAAGTATCGATATTACATCGATATTGTAATTGCATACCCTAAATAGATTGAGAGCGGAGTCCGTTGTCCGCTGTCCGCCACCGAGAAGTACAGCGAAGTAATTGCGATTACAAGCGAAAACTCGGCGACCTCGTGGAAACTTGAAGACTGTCCCGTTTTAAATCTACAATAAAATCCCTGATGCACTATGAGATAGGTCTTCGGCGGACGAAGGCATCAGCCGCAGAAGAAGCATACGAGTTGGGGACTTCGGATGCCACCTCCTGCTTGTACCCGTTCTTTCCGTTCAAACTGCCGTTCTCGTTCATTACAGCCTGAAATAACACACATTTAAACAATAAATTTTTATTCGCTATTTGTTTAAATTAGCTGCTTTTTATAAACATTGCAAATAATTCTGCTAATTACAATAAATGATTATGTAAACATTCTCTATATAAGCTCACGTAAAGGAGAGTCGATGACTATTTGTCACCTACAGACTAAAGATTACTAAACGAATTAGAGAACCAGCTATCAAATGTACAGATCAGATATTTCGTATGGACTTTTGATTTTTTTCTATTGATTTAGGTGAAAGCTTTACTAATAAATTACTTTCTAAATTTTATCCACTCTACGCTGGTTCTTACGTGAGAGGGTCCCAGATTATTCTGATATTACAAAGAAGAAAAGATTTCTATGTTTGTATGTATGTATTGAACTCAAAAACTAATAGTCCGATTTCAAAAATTCTTTCACCAATATACACCTACGTTTAACGAGTAACAGGCTATATCTATTACAATTATTTCCGCGCGGACGAAGACGCGTGCAACAGCTAGCTTTATTTCAAACATTTAGATAATCATGGATCAAATCGAAATAGTGCGTAATAGCTTACCATACAAAGTCCGTTGTTAGTATTGGCCTTCCTGCCGGCCTTGTTGTAACGCGCCTTGTAGAAGTCCGAGAAGAGAAAGAGGAAGAGGAAGCCGTGCATCGCGATCCAGTAGACGAAGGGGCGCGGGTACTGGCACGAGGGCCGGAACAGCACCTGCAGCTGGTGGCTGAAGATCAGCACGAACTGAACCTGAAAGAACACACACATTGTACCACGTATAAAGACATCCTTACTACTGTAAAACAATCTAACTTTTACTAGTATTATAAATGTGAAAGTTTAGATGGATGGATGTTTATTAGACTTTGTAGCATAAACTGCTGAATGGATTTCTATGAAATTTTGCATAGATGTAGAGGATGGTTTGGAAGAACACATAGTGAACTTACTTACATCCTTCAGTAGACACTATCGATATAAGAGCTCTAGAAGTCTTGCCAGTCTATTAGAGAGTAATAATATATTTTAGCACGATATTTATTTATTTATATAAAAAAAACAATTTTACAAATACATTGCATATAAATTGTTTTATTTTCAATTTTTATAAGTCTGTATTCTGTTTAATTAAATATGATTGGCTTCTTTACTAGGCATGTTACCTTGTATTCAAAGGACCTAATGACTTCCCTTACTTCGTTTAAAATTAATTAGAAATTCACAATAACGAAAAATGATGATAATGACTGTCAGTTTTAACTAAACAGTTCGCCTTCAGTTATAACTGTCAAAACTGAAAAGTAGCGGGCTTTTTGAATAAGTTTTCTAAAATGCAATATTGTCATAAGACAGAATTTTCAAACACAGAATATTCTATCTTGTATCTTTGGTTAGAAATCATAGGTGTATTTAAAGCATACGGGACAATGGATTTAAAATACTTAGGTAATCTGATTGAATAATAAGCAGTTAAACACTGCGAATCATATTAAAATTCTTCAAATTCACTCTACTTTTTAACCTTTTACGGTAACAATGGAATATTAATTTTTTGATTCAGTGAGCATTGTTTTAAAAATTTACTAGTTATTGTCCTTAGTCGTTTCCTGCTAAAATAATGCATTAAATAATTATGTAAGTATGACACAATTTTTTTTATAAAATATTCATTTTTAACATGATAAATAATGTACTCAAGTGGTTATTACATTGAAATTGTTTTATATGTAAATAATGGAGTGTACAAGGTTTGTGGCTGACCCATCATTATATTTAATCAAAGCGCGTGTTCATATAACAATAAATAACTCGTATCAAGTCCATTGACATACTCAAACATGTCCCTTCGTATACAATCCAAGGTTAATGCTACAAGGTTTTACCATCGGGAGTAAGCAGAACATGCCTGCATTCGTATCTTGTACTTGTTTACTGGACAGAAAGAATTTAGAGAAAGAGATTTTTTTCTCCTCTATAAACTTATCCACTTCTACTTTTTGGGAAACGGGAAGGGACATGACATGCAATGGCCTCCAGCCTTCAATCTTCAAGAAAAACGCATAATTACATATAAGACTGTCTTCCATATTGTGGTATTGCGTAAGTAGAGATAGCTAATCTTACTCTTACTGATATTAAAAAGTAAAGTTATTAAGTATGTAGAAAATGGTGAACGGATCTCGATGAAATTTTGCATAGATATAGAGGGTAGTCTGGAAGAACACATAGACTACTTGCTTTTGTTTTTTTTGTTCTACACGGACAAAGTGGCGGGTGAAAGCTAGTCTACACTAATATTGTAAAGAGGAAAGATTTATATTTTTGCATGTATTGGAATAACTCAAAAACTGGACCATCTTAAAAATTCTTTTCCCATTAAAAAGCTACGTTATCGTTGAGTAACATAGGCGTTTTTTATTTTATGTGGACGAAGACGCTAGCAAGAGCTAGTATTAGCAACAGTTATTAATATGGTTCAGAGTTAAAGACTTACCATTTGGAAGGCGGTGAGGTACTTCTTCCACCAAATGTATTTCTGGTACCTGGGGCCCATCGCCGACACCATATAGTAGAAGTACATCACGATGTGCACGAACGTGTTCAACAGCGCGAAGAATGTGCTGTGACCGCCTGCGTACAAAACGACATTACAGAATATTGAACTACCGTACCCATTAGCACTTACTTCATTTATGGCAAAAAACATTTAGTTCGTTTTGGCAGCGAAGGATTGTTGCTAAAAAACTAACAGTCAATATACAACCGTTTTGACACAATACGACGACCGTTAGGCATATGCTAAATGAAGAATTAAGGAAAACTTGTTTTTATGTTGTATCAATAACCGGTAATGTGTTGAGTTTGTTTTTTTTTTATCTAATACTATAAAGAGGAAAATTTGAACATTTGTTTACCTTCAACTAGCTCTGAAATTACTATACCGATTTTAAAAATGTTTTCGTTGCTGGAAAGCTACACTAACCTCTGTTGAAATACGCTGTATTTATTACAAGATTTTTTTTATAAATTCTACGCGGACGAAGTCACGATCAAAAGTCAGTGTTTACTAATTTTATTACCTAATTTAATTTGCATATTTGTTCCTTAACTATAATTTTAATCGTACTCACAGCAAAATTAATTAAAAAATGAAGGGAAAACGATTAAAAGCAACAGGTAAATGCCATAAATTACATATATATGTACTCTTTTATTACAAATTCCGAGCTAAGATATCTCAATGAATAATGACGGGATATTCAATATTTACCGCATACTTAACTGTAGCATATAATTAACAGTCAAATAAATCAGTTAGTATATAACGCAATATATTATGTAAATATTAATATTGCGATACATACGACTAAAAATTTAAATACAAACTTCCTATAAAATTTCGATTTCCTTTACCATGCAAAGCAAAGATACTCTTTTGAAAACAAGTTTTATAACTTTGTTCCTGATAAGAAGGTAGGGTGTGGTTAAGGTTAAATATAAGTATTTTATTACATAATCAGTTAAATTAAACCTGTTTGTTTTATCTAATACTAATATTGTATAGTGGAAAAATTTGTATTAATCTATGTATTGAAAAAAATCAAAAACTACTAATCTTATTTCAAAAATTCTTTCACCATTAAAAGCTACGTTATCAGTGTAAACATAGGCTGTTTTTTTTTTAATTTCATGTGGGCAAAGTCGCGAGCAACAGATAGTGTACAATAAACAACGATATTATATTTTTTGTATGTTATACTCTTTTACATTTATGGTACTTTTTATTCTTTATAATTTCTCAGTGGCAGATAAATCATGAAAGAATGATTCACACAGATAAAATCACTGTCGATTTGCTCATACCTTGTTATTATTAGTACAAACAGTATGTAAAAACCTCGCAATATTTGCTTATACATTTAGCATGAGCTAGAGAGATATGTTAATCCTAAAGTCTTCCTTATAGCTCTTAAGTCGGTAGCTGTTTAAACGCTTTGTCATATTTATTTAGCACATTATTAAATGATTTTAATATCGACCCATTGTACATTTATTGTTAATATTATTATAATTTACTTTTTGTATTTCCTATCCGATTATCGACTGTGGAAATTTATTTTAAATTTATTTGTCTTGCTTATCGCAAAATATGATTGTTTTTAAACTGGAACTAATATTTACACGAAAGCGAAAGTTGATTTTTTAACATCCACGGATGCGAATGCGGATGCGGAGTTTTGAGGGCTCACATCCGCGGATGCGGATGCGGATGCGGATGTTAAGATATTATGTAAACCGTCATCACCATAATCATCATTTCTGCCTTTATTATGTAACTAAAGTATATTAATGAAGAATTAAAACAATGATGAATTAATTATTAATATTTTTAATCTAATTAATCAAACATTATTATATATTAAACACCTATTGGCAAATTAGTAATTAAATTTAAAAATAGGAGCATTATACTTAATGAACAGGAGTATTGCCGCCTTTTCTGGTTCAAGGCGATTACGCAGATGTTCATAAATTAAACCCGCGCTACTAAATAATTGTTCGCTAGGAACACTGCCCGGCTACTTGCATGATATTCGCATCCGCATGAACATCCGCACGGATTAATGCGGATGCGGATGCAGATGTCCAAATCTATGCGGAAGTTCCGCATTTGCGGATGCGGATGCGAATATTCGCAACATCCCTGGTACATATATGCTCGCGACTATTTTAGCGAACGAAAAATAAGTAACAAATGTTACTCCTGCAACCTCAAGATTCAGATAAAATCCCGCCATAATCGATCTAGACGTTTCAGACAGCAACAAAAACAGATATCTCAACTGCCCCCTGTATAATAAAGCCATGTACCCTTACCCTCACCCCTTAACACCATGTACTGGTGTCAAGGGGAGGCTGAAAACCAGCGCGGCCTTCAGTGACAAGCTGGAGACCGCATCAGCTGAGCCTTTTCCTAGCCAAGATTTTTTTTGGATTTTAAATCATTAATATGTTTTGTAAATTTTGTGATTTTTTGGTCAATAAATACAGTTTTATTCTATTTTGTTTTATTTTTCAGACGGAAAAAAATGTTAAAAAACCTTTACTCAGAAGAAATTTATCAAATACGTTTTTTTGAATTACATACAAACACTTCAATATTATTATTGGTATGTTAACTTGATTAATATCAGCATGAAAAAGTAGAGCTTCGATACCGAGCTTTTTAATTTGGATTTCTACTAAGGAAACATGTTTACGAAAAATTTCATAGAATTTTCAACATGTAATAAAGCAACTTTAAAATAAAAAAAATACTTAATGCAAACTGCGTAGTACACTCTACAATGTTCAAAGTGTCAACGCAAACATAAGTCAGACTTGTTGTGACAAATGGGAAAAAATAATAGTCATTTCACGTTTAGTTCCGTATTCGAATATAAAAAAGCTACTTATCTTGACGCACATAAATCTGAAAATATAAGTACTCGAGAGGCGAGGGTATAGTAAAAAATCAGCTTTTTTTGTAAGTCCATGTATGGAATATTTTGAAATTAACCTATATTGACGTAAGTTAATCTGTAATTGAATATACAAGATTATTATGTATATCTACGCGGGTTTTTCTGTGAGAACGAGGTTTTCCCAATAGATCTATTTGCAAATTAACAGCCGCAGAAGGTTATTATATGAAATAAATGTCGACTAAAATACACCTTTAAACCTTCAAGTCTTGGAAAAATTTATTCATATGAGAATTCGTTACCCGGACGTCGTATATGCTTTACAGGTTTTAAAGTACATCTCTCAATGTATTTTGTATTTAAACGTCTTTTATGTATATGCCATTCGAATTATAATCTTTGGTGTGAGCGTATACTGGGACTAAAACAAAACTAAAATAATATACCTTTTTTAAAATAAGACTTACACTATTTTAATTTAACATTATAAATGCGAAAGTTTACATGGATAGATGGAAGTTGGTAAAGTTTGTAGCCTAAACTGCTGAACGGATATAGATGAAATTTGGCATAGATATATTTGAAAGTCTGGAAGAACACATAAGCTACTCACTATTGTTTTTTTAAATTCTCCAGTGGGAGTCGCGTGTGAATGCGAGTGTATGTCTAAAATAGTGTGTTGGTGATAATATCGACTTACCCGGTGCAAACTTGAGCCCGAACCAGACGGACATGGGCATGATGCCGTGGTGGATGACGTGAAGAGTGGACACGTGCTCGTTCTTCTTTCTCAGCACAAAGAACAGCGTGTCGAAGAATTCAGTGAACTTGCTGAAGTAGTACCACCAGCATGTGTTTGCCATCTACACACAAATATTTATGCCTTTAGTAAAAGGCAGGGGAACGTGTAGGAAGTCGGCGCTGTTCCCTTGTGTCGGAGGCCTATCGCTGGGCCAGCAGAGTAGTGGTAAAAGATATGAAAGTTCGGTATTTCGGAATAGCTTAATTTGTAATCTCTTTTTATCAAACACGACGATATTAATATGACTTCTACTTAGACTATCGTAACACACTTTGCCATTCACCCGTTGTTTTATGTTCTTTAAATTCACTTGATTAACACTAACAAAGTTAAACTTAGGAATAAACTGAGTATAAGCAAAATTTGTACTAATATATGCTTACACTCAGTTTATTCCTAAGTTTAACTTTATACTGCGTTTATTTGTAAGGCTGTTAACCATTAATAATTTAACGTAACGGGATCAAGAAACAATAACTTAAAATTAAATTTATTAATTTATTCAAAGTTGAACTTTTTGTTGACTGTAGTTAAATATTTTCAATGTATTTTGCGATTAATGGTGAGAATATTACAAAAAAAACGGTTTTTCGACAAACTTTTTGCGTTTTGGTAAACTTTTTTCAAATTGTCTAAAACAATGGCAGCACAAAACCGTGTGCACTTATAAATGACATTTAATTATCATTCGATTTTGATTATTTTGCATTTTAACAAAGCGTAATATCAAAAAATCACGGCATTTACATTTTATTATTTCATGAGTTAACCAGAAGTTCTCATTTATATCAGTCTTATTAAAAATATCGCGCTCTAAAGTGGATATTAATTACGGAAGCTGGTTATATTGTAATTTTATTCTGAGAACAATGACCATTAACTTGCTTGACTTGAATATGAGGCGAGAGCGGAAAATTCGAGCACAACTACTAACGATATATATTTTTTTGTAGAAACTTGAAACACAAGTAAAAAACCTATAAATAAATTTTATACCTGTAATTGATTTATAATTACTTTTAAGATGAATCTTGCTAAGATTTGTTACGGATAGTTTGCATTAATAAACGGCTTTACTTACCCTCATCGCACGGGGGTGTCGCGAGTAGTCGACGAGTTGACATCTGAAGTCGTAGTGGCCCAGCCATCCGCTCATCAGATACTGCGTATAATATACAGATATTAAAAATATTTATTACAACTACAGCCGTAATCGAATTAGATTTCGCTATTATTATTGTCATTCTCTACACTATAAATAATACTAGTATTGTTCTCTAAATTACTTAATAAGAAAATAATAATTTTATTTAAGTTCGATAAATTTTATTTAAACCGAATATCGATAGTTCATAATTGTTCGCTATGCGTGGTTGTTCGTCACTGCGATACCTGTCTATTAAGTACGGCATTTGGCTTAATACAAATTTAATTCGATACTTCATATGCGTCATTTGTCAAACTTATCTATCTTATTTAGACAAACTATAACTTGTATTTGTTCAATATAATCGCCAAAATTCATAACCAGTCCATTGATTGAATACAGCGCTGAAAAACCATTAGAAAAAGTAAAACTATAAAGTGTGTAGTAACATTTTAGTGTGGGTTTACATTTTTCCAATTGTAAACCAGCGTCGGATTTGTACCGCCTACAATAATGTAAACTAGGCATAAATATCGCTAGCATTCATAACAGTTGCCTACTAAATTGTTCACTTCTGCATAGATTATCCAACTTTGTTGAAAACTTTCATAGTTAGCAAATTAATCTTAACACTTTGCATAAGTGAAGACGAAGTGAATATGAAGTAGATCATCAGAAATTCGAGCTCGGAGCAGCGCACGAGAAATTTCCTTAGAAGCGATCTTACATAACAGGACCAATGAGAAATTATTAATAGTGGCATAGACGTAACGTGGCCGTAGCGAGCTCGGTTAGGAAATAATAGATTAAAATTCATACGAGTTACAAGTAGGTCGTTGGCGATTCATTAATGATGCTGACCGTGCCTTTGAAAACAAACTACGGCCTACATTTGTTAATGTGTTGCACCATAAAATGTGCCAAAATTTTACCACGCAAATTAAGAAACACAAAAATCTATTATATTCGGAGTTAAACATGCTAAATCGAACTCAAAACCCTTGCCACCAGTGATATTAATATCGCCAACGACTGGTAGAACTTCTATCTTGTAACTCGCACATTTACGAAAACAAATTTGCTTTTCAAAGCTGTTTTAGGTTTAAAATAATGCCTCTAAGCATGTAATTATACTACATTTCTCACAAAAAACCTCATCTACAAGACGTAACATTATTACCTAAGTGTAATAATGTTTGATGTGAACTTCATAATGTGGGAATGCAATAGTACGTATCGTAAGCAAAGAGATTTAAGAATATAACATACTTTTGAATTTCTTTGATTGTAGCTCTATTGGTGCACATTAAAAATATTATGCATTGCGCTATTAACTACAAAACATAACGCTTGTTTTCGCATATCAAAAAACAGAAGTGTAATTTTTAACACTCATGTAACATCATTTCTATTGCGATATAGTATAGCAAAAACGTCTCGAGGGATTTTAAGGCGTGATTTCAACTAGCGCGACAAGCTGTACGACTGATTTTTCTATGATGTAAGTGTTCTCAATGGCAAGGTAGCACGACGAATCTATTAATGGAAAAGGGGTCTAACGTTTTAATAACTAAGAGAAAAGAGGAAATATAAGTTATGGTATATTAAACCTCTGAGAAGCGGTAGTACAAGTAAATTAATTTGCACACTCTATTTTGCATCATTATCATGTCACGCTTTGTAATATTGATATATTTATTTCAAACACGAATATATCATTAAAACATCGTAAAATGTTCGACAATATTTTCAAAAGTAAAAAAATATTGATTTGTTCTATGGAATTTGAATTATATGAAATGGGTTGTCATCTGTGCATGTGCTTTTCCAAAAATTATGGAAATAAAAATAATAATAAAACAGGATTATCGATTTTAATGTAAGAAACATTTAGAATAAACCAGTGACAGATGATTGGAAGATTAAAATTATTTTATATTCGTATATTCATTCTTTTTAAACGTAAATATCCCCCCAGTATGTTAAATTCTTTCCTGCATTTCTTCATATCTGAATTTTCTTCAAGCCTGGATGGCTTCTTCTCTTCTACTTTCTTCAATCTCCTCTTTTTAAGCCATCCATTCACATTTATCTCACCAATTTCTAGTTCATATGCATGTCTCACTGCATGTCCATATAACGCTAACGTTTCACTCAATTTCTTCGTCATTATAAGAATAAGAATGACTTGTTTTGATTCATCTACGACTGTGAACGTACTCAGGGACAAGGCTAGTATTTAATTTCAAGTGAACAATTTTTTCTTCGTTTATTATTGATTAAAATCCATTAAAAGCATTTTATCATAACCGATAATTTACATAATTTAAAAACAATGTAAATCAATTGATATTTCGTGTACATTTTTTCTTGGTATTGATTATGTAACATGGATAAGAATTTATGATGCTTTGGTGATTTTTTTAAATATGTGAATTTTATTGTTTACAGGAAATGAAACTTACCTCGTAGAAAATCCAGGCGCTGAATACTGTCTGGGCGAAATTGTAAACAACGAGCACATTTCTTAGTTCGAATGGCTTGCGATTGGCCATTAATGTTGGTCCCAATTTTATGGCGCAGAAGGCGTAGCACAAACAAGCGGCCAACGTTGGCCACGGAGACGACATCATCGCCCAGTCGTTCACTCGGGGGTCTAAAACAAAAAAAAAGTATAAAGAGCTTGGATACATATATACCTATTACAATCACGTGTATTAACTGTGAATAAGATATTACTGTAAAGTCTATTAGATAACCTCTTGCAAAATTCTGTGTTCAATATGGCTTCAACAGTTGTCGATGTTTTTAGTTATTTAGTTAATTTCTAAAAGGACATATGTACTTCCTAAGAGCATAAAAGTATCTTGAAACTATTGTTTACGTTAACTTTATGCAGAGATTTTTTGCTCTCCGCTTTGTAGCCAAGAGTCGGGGTACAAAGGTAGAAAGAGTAGAGGGAAAGTGCCGACTAGATGGCGAGTGTATTCATCCCTTGTTAGGAGATGCACTCAAGCCGGGCATAGAACGTGCCTTTTGATCGGTTATTGGATGTACTTTATTTTCATTTTGTGATGCAATATAGGAACGAGCCACTTGTCTCACAATGTATTATATAAAAATTTTCTACAAAAACCGAATTTTGTTATTATGCTCTGGTGTTGTTAATTATAATACACATATAAATTCACTCAGTTTATAACTTAGACTATTATTCATTATATTATTTTCGTAACGATAAATCATAAAAGTAATAAATGTACAAATATCTTACTTCATACTTCACCATTATTAAAATGTTCTTATAGAGCGCAAATGAGTTTGAGAACAAGGTAATAAAACATTGGATTTTAGTACTTATAACTTGTAAAGGTTATTAGCGCCTTTAGGAAAAATCTAAGGTACTAATTACAAATAATTATGACTGGTAACTAGGTAATGCAGTAATGAAGATTATTTTTTTCTTTTTAATTCTATTATGCCTTTTAAAAGTTAATATTATATTTAATCATAATATGTCCAGTAGTTTAGGGCAAAGCTCTCGGTTTTTTCGACAATCTATTCGAACCATTTTCATTTTCATAAACATAATAGATATATGTCATTACATTGCAGCATAGAATGTACATAATACCTGTATATATAATATATAATTTGTACAGCGTATATTATATTTATAGGTAATGTAAATATTTTCCTCGTACACTCAATATACGGATGTTTGAATTAAGTGATCTAAGTTCCATTTGTTAGAAATAAACTTTAGCGGGAAACCAGAATACTTAACATGTGTAGATTTAAAAAACAACAATTAGGTAGTAAAAAAGCGAAAAAGAAGAAAGTTATTAAACTGAAATATTCAATGTTTTGAAATTCATGAAATAACCTTGTCCTTTGACACATTGACACGATTAATTTCCGCTATACGAAAAAAATAGAACAACTTTATTGAAACTGGACATGACATGTCCCTTGAGTTCATATTAATTTAATTAACAAAGCCGCTCCTACTAAAATATTTGGTTACGTAGCAGACAAAACGAAAATCAAACATGTATTGTTACATACAAAGAATAAAAAACTTTTATTTTATTTTCCTTAAGAAAGAAGCTTGTTTATTTTATAGCACGTAAACTCTACCAGCATTACAAATAAACGCAGTATAAAGTTAAGCATTTTATTCCTATATGTAAGGCTGTACATCTTAAATGAAGGACTAAGGATCTCTTGGATCTTTAGGGCTTAATTAATGACATCATAAGAATTAACCTACTATGCTCTACCCACCGAAATTTCATAAACTTCTTTCAAATAAGTCCATATCAACGATATTGATAATAATCTCAAGAAGCTCTCGTTTGACAGTTGGATTAAGGGCCCGATTCAAAATGCGGTTATTTTAGAAACCGCACGTATTGTGAGGAGGTTCCTGTCTCTACAGCCCTGACCACTGGTTGCTTGAGTCATCGGATTTCGCAGCCGGTGGTATTATATTTTTTACATATGTTTTTTTTTATAACAAATCTTGTAAAATGAATTATATAGAAAATAAGAAATAAAGATATATGTATAATCTACAATTGATTAGGTAATTTGATAAATGAAGACAAAGTCTTGGTTGTCATAGACATATGTAAATTACATAGATGCATAAAGTTCTAAGAATTGGTACCACATAGTGTGAATCAATGTAGTACCAATGTAAATAAATGACTACGTTATTATAACTATAACAAGCAATCGCAGTGTAAATTACTTTACAGAACCGTGGAATTGAAGATTGCATATTTTACCGGCTAAGTACACTGTAACTTTATTTAAAGAGCGCGCACACCTTTGACTAAACTATCGCACGACTAAACAGTTGTGCAACTAATTAGTCGCGCTTTGATTCCTATGAGTTATCCATATAATTTGTCTATCTGTACACCTCCATAAGGTGCGCACACTACTCAATTTTTAGTTGTGGAACTAAACAGTTGAATGGGCTGCGAAACAGTCGACAACCGCTTAACAGTTGTGCGATAGTTTAGTCCCAGGTGTGCGCCCGCTATTAAAAGATATTATAATATGAGATATGCAATTGCAGTTTACATATGACTTAAGCTAATTTATAGCAATTGTCTTTGTTTTTACTCATTGGTGATTTTTTTACGTTTTAACAGTAGCGCAAGTAATTACCATATCGCTTGTCAGTCTATAAATAGCAGGAATTAACCGTCATTATGAAGTATTCATCAGAATTCCAATGGATGTAACGTAGACGAGAATTTATGAGAAAATTCTCTCTAAATCTATTTTACACAAATAGCAATTTCCGCGTGGTTATCTATGCAATCTAAATAAATTTTACTTTTATATTTATGCCACTTATTTTAGATTCAGAAAATAAATATATGATTGTGTAATGTCTGGTCTTAATAGATTGTATTGTTACGTTTGACTTTAAAATAGTTAAAATAAATTGATAGCAAATGAATTTTCCTTAAACCAACACAAGTCAGACCAAGTACGAATATTTGCGGGAAAGTATTTGCAAACTTGGTCTAAACGGATTAGGCGATTGATAACCAGGATGTTGATATCGTCTATCTAGGAGAAGAGTTTTCTTAGCGATAGGAGTGCAGAAATGTCATATATGTTGCCGAACCCCTTACGAATACTTTTCGTGCTAGGTCCCCTATTCTACGTAATCAATCTTTACGTCAAAATGCTAATTTTGATAATGAATTAATTTGCATTTACATATGTATTAATACCATAAAAGAACTTACATTACTTTTAACAACAATTTTTATTTGACAATTGTTAAGTAGAAAATTGATTTAATTTACTGTTTGACCCTTTCTTGTTTGTTCTAAAGTTAACATAAAGCATTTATTTTTAAAACATTAAAGAGGTCAAAGTTTTGTTAATCATTTGCTAATTATTATATTCAACGGAGTCCAATGAGTAAAACCTATACCGTAAGTCTATGGCTCTATTAACATGTACTATTAAATTTGAATCGTTAAAATTATTAATCTGTAAACTATAGTACAAGTAAATTAAACCCTATTGTGTCGATAGTAGTTGTCGGACAGGTGTCTGTTGATTGATTCTAAGATAGCTATCTGATATGTATATTAATATTGATTCGATAGACAATAAACACCCTTGCGTATATTGTCATGATATAGGTTTGTTTGTATGGTTGCACAACATGTTACGTGTTCCAGATGCACGCTTAGTAAAAACTCGGGCTTATGGAAAGTCCCAGTCGTAACCTAGTGGCGTACAGCTGGGGAGGGGCTACGTTACGGTAGTGATGCTACATCAGCTGAGTTTAGATCAGCCTCGGTTTACGTAATGTCGTTGAGCAAACTGCGATGACGCTGTCCGCACAGAGCCGGTCAAACGAAAGTTAATTCGACTCGATCCGCCTAAATTTACTAACATCCAGTTTGTGGAACATTGCGAAATTACAATTAATTATTATAATTATGTAATTCACGCCGGTCTGATGATTTACAATAGAAATTATACGAAATGATCTACATATTAAATATGTGATAACTTTAAAATATACTCAGGATTTTAGTTTAGGTTATTTATTATTTTATAACACATGTTATAGTACTATCATTGTTTCCAGCAATAAATTACATTTACAAACCTTTAGAGACTTAGAGAAACATTTTTAAAATGGTTAGTACTTCAAAATCATATACTAGTAACCTAAATATAGTAACGTCTATTCAACACGCAGTCGCGTGTCAATAGTTATCGATTTTTTTGAGTTTCAAAATTAAAACTAGAATTAAACTAGTTTACTAGCTACTTTATTACAACTACAACTGAACTTATAAATTCTATTACGGCTTAATAATAAAAATAATTATTGAAAATGTATAAACTCACCACTTTTGCTATCCATAAGGTCTTTATACCAATCGTAAACGGTTTCCATTTTGGCTGGGTTCTATCTAGCAACTAAATATCTGTAACAAAGAAAAATATCCATTAAAGTTAGTCAGGTTTCATGTTTTTTAATGATAACAATACATTCAAAATGTATTCCATTTGACTGTACTCTATAAATTACACGGTACTTGGACTAATTGGAAGAGCCGGGCGAAGAGTTTCCACAATTAGGCTATTAAACTAACATCAGGTAAGGCGCGGCGAGTGGAGGTTTTGTTCGGCGTGCAGCATTTCAAGCGAACACGGGTTTCGTTAATTTCACGTTCGCATGACCCAGTTATAAGCATATGAACCTCAATCCCTTGCTGCCGATTTAGTATATAAATGTCGAAAAGCACATGCAACAAGGATGGGAATTCGTTTTATTATCTATACTATTATAGTAAAGCGTAAACACACAATTCTTTGTTGCCTAAGATGTCAGCAATTACACCATATTTTTGAAAAATTCTTTTCTTAATAAAAAACCCTAAACTTACGTCTTTAGGCTATATTTTTTCACGCAATTGAATTTAGGGGGTAAATGTTTTGGATAAAAACCCTAATGTGGGAAAGAGACAACAAGTTGCTGCCAACATCAAGGAAGTCAGATTGTCAAGGTATTTAAAAATTGTAAAAAATAAAATTTTTATAATTGATTTTTATTTTTATTAATGATGATGAATAACATGCGGATGAAGCCGCACGGGAACAGCTAGTTATTAATAATCTACTACTAATAAAATTAAAGATGTTAAATTAATTGGTTATTTTAGTGGGCAACGCAATTACGAATAATTAAATAAAAACAAAAACTTTTAATAATGCCCTTAAATTCTTTTGCATGACCTTTTCAAGGTACAGTTAATTACACGTTTAAAAGGACGTTTTCGTTTACAACCCTGTGAATAGTTTTAAATACTTGTATGGAAATAAATAAACATATAAAAAATATCCTGGACACACAATATCAAGGTTGTCCTGATCAATTAGAGTTTTGCAGTGTTTACTTAAGAATTTGTCTATATTTTGGGGAATTTATTTCTGGAGCATAAGGGTTATGTGTTACATGTCTACACTTCATTAGACCACATCGTTAAATCGGTCTACTATTAATGATGGTTACATAAGATTTGCGCAAAAGAAGAAACATATCGAGATCACAGTTGACAATATTAATGTAAAGAGAACGTAACCGCGCATAAAACATTAAGAGAAAAATACATAGATGTATGGAAATGTCAATCGATATGTATCTGTACTTTAGTGTACCCTGATTCTCTGTCTGTTACGAGATCACATGCAAACTGAGTTACTAACGCAGTTTCAAAGCTCACTAATGTAATGAAAATGTAGCCTTTTAACTTACATACTAGTACCGTGCCCTCTCTTTACGCGTATCACTATCAAATATTACAATAAAAAAACTTGAACTCGATTATTATGTGTAATTGCATCATCTTCGTAGTTTGAGTGGTGTGGTATGGACACGAGATTTTTATACATATAAAGTAAAATCTTATTTCAGTATTAACTTTACTGGCCCGATATATTTTTTTAATTTTAACGATATTTCTTGCTACTCTTTTGTAAACATGTTTAAACTGGTTTTTAATGTATTTCGTCTGTTACAGACATTCATGTTCTGCGCCCGCATGGCGGAAGTAGGAGCAATGTAAGCAAGTTGCAGCACTCACTGTCCTTTAAAATCGTGAACGTTTGCAGATTTCGCATACGAAATGAGTGATTAAAGAGAATTCCAAGCGTTACGTCACAACACATGGCTGAGAGAAAGGGGGACGAAATGGTGGAACTTGTTCACACATTACCAGGAACTTGTATTTTTTTTGTCTACTAGATCAAAAATACATAAAACATGAAACTTAAGATAATGTTTTATACAACTTTTAGACAAGCGAAGTTTGTATTTAGAAGGCAAAATAGACAGACATTTTCAGAATTGTCCATCGGTTAGTTTGTTTTATATATGTATAATAGATACAATATTGTAGACAAAATCATTTCTTCAAATAAATTACTTGATAATTAAAAACATGCTACATTCCACCATAAATTAGTATTTTTTCAGTGTATGAGGATTGGTATTTCGTATATACGAGTACGTCATCGACATCGGTCGTGTCAAATTAACAATCGCATCGGAAGTGGCGACGGCACGTTTTGCTTCTAAGCACACGTTGGGTATGCTTTCGTGCTATTGTCACGTTCCACGTATTTCAAACAAAACAGTACAATCTTAAAGCGGATACTAGATACGTACATATATACTATGAATGATTTCTAGTTAAAGCTAACAAAACAACGTAATATGTAGGAGAGTTCGAAGAAATACCGTTGTATTGATATTTTATTTCACTTGTATTTTTTCATGATATCACAGTATCTTTGATTTCATACAAATTATGTAGCAATTGTTTATTATTTATCCTCAGACAGATCCTATAGACTAACTTATATCGATATTCAAGTCCTTGTTACAGTCTAGCCCATTGTGATCTATAGTAAAACACAATGGAACAAACGTTAACACAAATCTACATTTGTATACATGTGATTGAAAACCACGACCTTCCTAAACCAGTCGGGTAAAAAAACGGATAAAACGAGATATCTAATAGATAACTATATTGAATAAATAATGGCACTTAGTTGCAATCAATCATAGCGGCTGAGTTTGCGGGTAGGCAGGGATTTACGATATGCAATGTCTTAAGTGCTTAATAATTGAAGTCAACGTCAAGGTAAGGTTGCGATTTACAGCTGGGCCGAGTTCCTTTTCAATGAAAACTGACTTACGAGCGACCTTCTATCATACCAGATGACATCGAGGCTATCAGAAATAACTACGTTTATTATTAAATAATTATCAATACAAAAATTTCCGCAACTTAACGGGCACTTTGTAGGCGAGTAACTTAAACGCAGCACCGAGTTTACATGACGATTAAGTAACTTCTAAGCAATATTACTAATGTCATTGAACTGAAAACTACCATTGAACATTCGCGAAGTTTAGAAGTAATAAATGTTAAAAATAAAAATAACTATCTTTTTAACGATTAGCTTTACCACATACCGGAAACACTTCTATAGCCTTTTAACTTTTTGTTTAACTTCATATATAAAACTAAGCAATGTTAAATCGTTTGTAACTTATATATTAGCTGCTAATAAATCTTTAAATCCATTTTATCATGTTTATGTTAATTAAATTATTGAAAAAGGAGGTAATTCGCTTTGCATTTATTACAAAATACAACAATTATATACCTAAGTAATGGGTACTAAAACAGGATAGCTGATAGGAAGCGTAGAAATCTACGGGATAGGACAACGCACGTATGTGTTACACAAGTGTTGTCATACGAGACCTTGACCTGGTCCTCGCGACACGAACTCCCACTTACACTTGAAAATTATTTAACTGTTACACACCCGACACATTATGTAACGAGCAAACTGTTACTCAATGCACAAAATACTAATTTGCATCAATTAAAATATTCCGACTAAAGGCTTGTATCTCGGTAGAATTCAGAAAAGTAATTTGCATAGCCCACTCGAAATGTATGTCAAATAAGAATAGACAAACCAATTAAGTTAACATAAAAATTATAAAATTATTTAATAAGGAGTTCACAAAATAAATGCAAACTACAGAGATTGTTTATTTTTGTTGTTGTTACTTAATTATATATTAAGTTACAATATAAAGTTCGTTTGTTATAAAAGGACCTGGTAAATTTTATGCATCCATTGAGGAAAGGAGTGCACTATTGTACTGAGGAATGTTTATAATTCACGGGATCCGTGCGAGTGTCGTTGGGTCGTGGCAACTTTCACTCGTACTCCGGCTTACGTAAGGACGTTGCGCCAGAGCGGGCCGCGGAACCACTGACCCACTGCCACAGAGTAGAGCCGGCACGACCCCACTATCCACCACCCGACACCGACATCCATCCCATAGAACGTTTGAGAACATTGCGTTATGTTGCGCACGCGCACTTTGTAGCTTCTACATCCAGGGCTGCTAAGTTACAGAAAATCTATATAGAAAGATTTGGACTTTTGGATATTTTATATCTTAAAAATCTTGAAAACTACTTGGCCGATTTCAAAAATTCTTTCACCATTAAAAAGCTACTTTATCAGTGAGTAACATAGACTTTATTTAACTATGTATTTTTAATTTCAAGGGGACTAAGTCGCGCGCAACAGTTAGTAGTTAATATTACGCATCCCATTTATTATTATTTCTAACAAATACGCTTATTTGTCGTACTAATATGTGGTGTGAACTGAACTGTTTACTTGGAAGGAAGGATGAATTAGGTCAAAATTTGTTTAGGTAAATGACAAACATTTCTTGGTAACTTAGAATGTAAAATTTTGTTTACATTTTGTAAAAAATCAAAGTATTGTTAAGTAAAAATGCAGTACCTGATAAATTGAATAGAAAAACAATTGTTCTTTTTACTCATTTCTTTTGATTAAAATAAACAAAAGAACGACATAAGACAATTTATTGTAATTACTAAGGGTTTATTATAGAGTAAGGTGAACGGAAATTTTCTCTATTTTTTATAAATACCTTACATAATCTAAGTTATTTTTATTATCTATAATTAAAATTTCATATTGATAAACATAAATGCAACTAACTTATTTTAAGCACTGTGTGTTGAATGAATAAAAAAATTTACTCGTAGCGGCCCTATGCGTAGAGGCATTTCACTTAAATACGTCACAATCGTGGACTAGTATTATGGATGAGCGCATCGAAAGAAATTACATACGGCCAGCCTAATTTACATTGCAATACTTATAATGAAACAATAGAATAAAAAAAAAAATAATTTCTGCAATGCCGTGAGTGTATGCACGGAAATTAAACACATGATTGGCATTATTTACTAGACAAAAACAAATGTTACGTAATAGCGATGGTTTTAAAGAATAACACGAGACAAAAAGTTCGCGTTTAGTGCTGTTTACTTTCCGATGTTCCGAGTAAACT